CTGCCATATTTCCCAGAATAAAGTTGTTTTTTTTTTTCAATTAAGGCATTTACATTGGTCTTTTTTTAGACATCATGCTATTATTACACACTTAATAGTCTACACTACAGTGTAAACATACCTTTTATATTCACTGAGAAACCAAAAAAATTGTGACTCACTTTATTGTGATATTTGTTGCAGTTGTCTGGAATCAAACCTGCAAAATCTCCCAGGTATGCCTGTTTTTATATTTTGGAGAAGTAATGAATATTTTATTCTAATTTTTAAATGTCTTTAATGTAATTTTAATTGCCTGCTTTTTAAAGTTTATTACTAGATAAATCCATCTGAATAATGTAATTAAGGTCACTATCCTAAACCAAAAGGAAATTATGTAAGCAATTAAGCTGTATTCTAACTTGTCTTTCATTTAGTTACAAAATAGGAAAAAGACTTCCAGCAACGTCTCCGTTTTCTTTCTTTTAGTTCTTTCAATTTGAAACTTGTTACAAACACGCATAAAATCACATCTGGTAAAACTCACTAGTGGTAGAATATAGGAGTTCTTAGTCTCTTTACCAGTTTTATTTTACATAGTAAAATTGTATAAATGCATATTTATTGCAGATTAGCTATGTGCCAGGCACTGTTTTAAGTGCTATCCAAGTGGAAACATTTTAGTCTTCACGATAGTTCTGTGAGCATTCAACTGTCATCATACCTGTAACACAGGGTAAACCAAGAATAGAATGCTCACTAAAGATCACACAGCTATTAGGGTGATACCTGAAATTTATCCATCTGAACTACTATCTTTGCAGTCTGAAATGTGCCAGGTTACACCATTTACCAGCCACCAAATCTTCTGCCCTCCAAGTATCCCACCTTCTGTACAAAGGATATCATCTAAGTTACATATTGAATCTAGATGAAGGATTATGTGGATGGACTAGGACTTTGCAGGGACTAGCTGTTTTTCCTGTCCTTACTAAGAAACAGAAGGAATTACACAATGAGCTCCAGCTTCTTTTCTCTTCTCTCACAGCTGAAGTTACTGGAGACAGGCAGAGCCCAAGGTTTTGCATTACATGTGCAGGTTTCTAATCCTTGTACCTAGAGAAATACAAGTAACACCCACGAATTCCCGTGCCAGGAAGTCAGGACACATTCCATCCATTAAATAAATACTCAACTGGAAAGAGCTAACCATCAATTTCTTTTTTTATGATAGAAGTTTCTGATATCTATGGTGTGGCTCTAGAGCTTGTGATTTTACTGAGCTTTGCTAACATGTTCCTCCTTACAAAGGCAAAAATTAGGAGTGAGTATATAACACAGCTACAGTGTTGGTTGCAGCAGTTGTTATCCATGTAAATGCTGTCTTGCTGTAAGACACTGTTTACAATATCAGGACTGCTTTGCAAAGCAGCAAACCACAATTTTACCACCCCATCCTATTCAGCCCATGACTCCTTTCCCTCTTTAAGTGCCCATCAGCTTAGATTCTCCTCTAGGCAGTATAAGCCCTGAAAATGCCGAGTTCTCTGCAATTAAAAGTTCCCTGGACCATACAGCAGGCAGCACTAACCTATTAGGAAGGCACTTTTCAGTTTTCTACTCTGATATCCATCCAATATAGTTAAAAGTCAGTCTCCAAAGTATGACAGACACTTTTTGCCCTTGATGAGTGATTAGGAAATCTGAAAACAATTCACTGAATATTAAGGAAAGATTAAGTTAAAAACATTCAGGCTTGCAGCAAGTAAAACTGGGAATTTTTCCTGCCTTATATCATATTTTAGATAAAACTATACTGTAAAATTTTATAAGAAAAGGAAGAGAATTTAGCAAGGTGAAAAAAGGAACTAGTGGCATGAAGGAGGAGGGAAGTAAAAATTTCTTTTTACACCTACAGTTTGTAAGGCAATGTGTAGGTGTATTTTACTTTGTTTAAATTCATTGATATTACTTCCTTTTAAAAACATAGTTTTAAAATTTTCGAGATTGGTTTATTTTTTCAAGTTGTTATTCAATCACTTGAATCAGATTTGAATTTTAATTTCTGCCTGGCATGATTGAGAACTGTTATTTTTCTTTATACTATTTTAGTCCCAAACATACCTAATCATAAGGATCACCTAGGACTGTGATAAAAGTAGAGATTTTCAGGCATAGACATTATGTTTGGGTATATGAATTCTATATTCTTTCCTTGAAGTTTTTATTTTGAAAATAAAAATATTCAAATATCTACCTTCACCTAGATTCAGCAGTTGTTGAAATTTGTCACTTTTGTGCTATGCTGTATCATTCGCCACTCTTGATAGTTGAATAGATAGATGAATGGTGGATAGATGGTAATTTGGCCCCTTTCACTAGGACACTTAATAATCTTTTTAAATTAGCTTCCTTCACAGTTCCTTGACAGTGTTTAATCCCCAGGCTTAGTGCAGAAAGGAACAATAGATATTTAGTTAGAAGGTTGCACTAAACATAGAACCGTTAAATGATTCTTTTTTATTGTGAAACAGTGGTATACATATGAATAATAGATATTTAAATATATGTACCTTTTAAAGACTAATAACTGATCATCTTTGTCCTCACCACCCTGTTAGAACTAAAACATTAGCAGAAACTTTAAGCCCCTCGTGGGCCACTGCTAAACATTTGCCATACATCTCTTCCATGTGACCATTTCCCTAAATTTTGTGTTATCCCTAACTTTTTAAAGTTTTTCCTCATTTATGTATCAGAAAAAAGTGTGTCATTTTCCTGCTTTTGAACATTCTTAAATAGAATCATATTTATTCTCCAATGGCTTGCTTTTATTTTTTTCAGTATTGTAAGTTTGAGATTCATCTCTATTGCTGTGTTTGGCTGTACTTCGTTTTTACTACATTAGAGCAGGTCCTCAAATAAGGTCTTTTTGTTCAATGTCGTTTTGTTAAAATGTTGATGAGGTACTATAGGAACTTAACTCTTGTTTATATTGATTGGCCTATGGTAAAGTTGGTTTTGTTGTCCGTCATTTGGCTTAAAGTCACAGAACCTATCTATGAGTTAAGCAAGGACCTTCCGTGTACTGTTTTTATCATATGAATATACCAGAATCCAGTAGACCATTGATGAACATTTGGAATGTTTCTAGTTTCTTTTAATATGAACAGTGTGTCAAGAACATTCTTGTACATAACCTTTGTGTACATGTGCAAGAGTTACTTGAGATTGTGCTCCTAGGAACATCCACAATTTAAGATTCTGGAAAGGTGTTGTTTTCCTAAATAACAGAAGCTACCATCGTTAAAGGAATAGGATCGATTCCTTGAACACCTTTGGTTGACCTGCAACTGGATCTGGATTTTTGGTATGTCCCAGAACACTTTTTACTGTTAAGACACATGGGACACTGTACAACTAAGTTCCAGAGGTGAGTGGAAGTTGTCCAAGACTGGTGGAATTCTGACCCACCTTGTGCAGGCAGTCATTTGAGCTGGGAGTCTACATACTGGCTTATGCCATGATGACATTCACTGAGCTCAGTATATTGATTACTCATATGATGTTCTTATGCTTCTTTGGTATACCTACTCCATATTGATGACTTTCTACTCTTCTTGAACAACACAATGAACACATCCTGTACTTGATCAACTGGATGACACATTGGAAAGAACTTGGACTTTGGATTTAGAAGTCCTTGAGTTTAACTAGGTTGGCCATTTACATACTAGAGAAATGCTGTTATAATTAGAAATAATATATAAAAAGTGCTCCATTCTTTGCCTGACATTTGATAAGCATTAAGTAAAGTATAGTCCTACAGATGTTGTTCTTGTTATTTCTCATCACCCAGAATTCAGAAGCCTGAAATATTGAAATTCCTTTCTCTGATACTCTTTTCTTCTTTCATGAATGAATTAATGAAATTTCTCCCCTATCCCTTATTTCAAATTTCATCTCACTTTCCAGTTTACTTTTCTGTGTTAGTCTTATAATGTTCACACACACACACATTATTGACTTAAATGTTTAACATGTCCTCTTGTGGTCTCTTCTTAAACATAACATGTACTGATTTGAACTTCTGATTTCTACCCTCCCCAGTCTCCACCATTTTCCTCACTTTCCTCTCTAGTTCAGTTAATGGTGTTGCCATCAACTCAGTTACCCTGGCCGAAAACCGAGACCTATCCTTGACTCTTTAACTTAGTCCATCAGTATGTTCTGCTTCCAAATCATATCATGCCTTTGACCACATCTAACTCTCTATCCCTTGTCTAAGCCAGCATTAGCTCTCATCTGGGTTACTGCTGCTATCCCTTATCTCTGCTCCCTGCCTGTACTCTTACCCTTCAGGATAAAAGTATGAATCAGATCTGATCACTGATTAAAGCCCTCCGAAGACTACCTACAGTTACAACAGATTCCATTTTCTCATGGCCTTTAGGTAAAATCAGACCTCTGTCTCTGTTCCTTACCATGGTGAATCTCTTCATTCACCATGCCTAGTCACCCCTGACCTCTCTCTCTTCCTTCACTATACCAAGCTCAGTGTCACCCTAGGGCCTTCACTCTCACTTTTCTATCTCTCTTGAACTCTCTTCCCATGTTTTTGGTGTACTGTCTTCTTTTATAGTTCAGATAGCTCAAAGGTCACCTCCTGAGACAGGCTTTCTCCGACCCTTCTGGAATTTTCCATTCATGTTTTTCTTAAACCTTTTCTTAAACCTTTACTTCATAGCTATACTATCTAAATTTAATCTTAAATATTCGTTGACATGTTTTTAAATCTTATTCCACTTAAATGTAATATCTAGCAGAGTGGCTCTCTGGTTTACTGCTATATTTTCAACATCTAAAATAGTGCCTGGTACATAATAGATGCTTAGTAAATATTTCTTGAATTAATGAGTGATGGACGAAAGGTAACTGGAGGCCAAAGAATCCCAGAACTTGTTACATGTATCACTAAGTAAGTATATAATGTATATAATGTATGAAAATGTTTTACTTTTCAGGATTAATTGGAATTCTTCAAAATGTCAGGTAAGTTTTTGTGAATAAATTTTAATATGCTTTATTTTCAAATGTGAATTGCATAATTGCTATCCTTAAAAAATTGGAGTTTAATTTAGAACTTTTTTATGTTTAATATTTGGAGCATATGAACATTCCTATCTATCTTCGATAGAAATAATTTAAAAAGATTTATATTGGCACATATGTACTGAAAGACCTCTAACATATATGGGGAAATTTGGGCAAAGTAAGGAAAGTAAGTCTGCAAAAAGAGATAGTAGTAATAAATAACTTGCGATGACAGCCTGCTTTTGTAGAGGAAAGCTCAAAAGTAGCCCTTTCATTTTCAAGCAATGCAAAAGATGACATAAGGAGAGAAACCACATTTATGGGATTTGTGTTTTTTATAAGATAAAAGTCAATCAGTTAAGAGATTCAGAACTTTTCCTTGTAATGAGTCCAGGGAGAAATTTCTCTTATTTCAAGAGGACGAGGTGTAACATCATGAAAAGTGACTTCATTACCTCCCTTGAAGCAATTGTGGTGACCTAGGTGGAAGTATGAGTCACTGGAGATGTAGACTGAACCACCTCTAATTGAGCTTTGTGTGGCACCACTGGTTTTTAAACCATTTAGTATTCATCGTGCTTTGTTTTGAATTTATTTAAATAGCCATTTTTTAAATGAGATTCATGAAAAAATCAGATTCACTCTATATATGACTTCTTATATATATTAGGAAAAAAATTTTTCAGCACTGTGCAAGGAATTTATGTAGGTAGGAACCAGCATCAGGTCAGCTGAACTACTAGCATGAAAGCTCATTGCTTTGATTGTAGGACAATATAATTGCTGTGTTTTATTTTGTAATCTATATTCAACCTGAAAATTCATCAGATGTATTAATGGGTTGATGTCTAATATATATAAAGAATTACTTTTTGTGAGAAATATGAGTGTATTTCATATTGATGCATACTGAAAAGAAAAAATGACTATATTCTGTTACCATCATTTCTATTGCAAATCGCATGCCCTCTCTTTCCCCAAAGATGTAGCCCCCGCAGCCGCTAAGGAACCTACAGATGAAGTAGAAAATCAGATAAAGTCACCTGATCCAAGGCCTGATGCTCCTCCTGACTACAATTCCCATTTTGTACCAGGTAGGCTAATAGTCGGAAAAAATCTTACTCCTGTATCCAGAAAACCATACTAATAGTTAAGATTGCTTTTACTTTTTATTCCTTATTTATTTTATTATTATTTTTTTAAAATTTATTGTTTTAAGTGACATTGGTTATCGAAATCCAGTAAGTTTCAGGTGTGCAGTTTAACAGTAAGGAGCATATATATTGCATTGTGTGTTCCCCTCCCATAGTTAGATTTCTTTCTGTCAACACATTATTTGAACCATTTTACCCCATCTATCTCCCATCTCCCCCTCTATATTGTCCATGTCCATGAGTCTCTGTTTTTTGTCCTGTTCATTCGTTGCTCTGTTTTTTTGTCCTGTTCATTCGTTGCTTTTAGGTTTATATCCCACATGTAAGTGATATCATGTGATTTTCAACTTTTTCTGTCTGACTTATTTCGCTTAGCATGATTATCTCGAGTTCTATCCATGTTGTCGCAAATGGCTGCATTTCATCTCTTCTTATGGCTGAGTAATATTTCATTGTATATATGTACCACAGCTTCTTTTTCCAATTGCTTATTGTAGGATGCTTCAGTTACTTTTGTATCCTGGCCAACGTGAATAATGCTATGAACATCGGTGTGCAAATATCTTTTCGGATATGAGTTTTCAAGTCTTTGGGGGTAAATATCCAGTAGAGGGACCAATTCTTAATTTTTTGAGGAACCTCCATAGTGGCTATACCAGTTTGCAGTCCCACCAGCAGTGTATGAAGGTTCCTTTTTCTCCACATCCTCTTCAACATTTGTTATTACTTGTCCTATTGATAACAGCTATTCTAACAGGTATGAAATGATATCTCATTGTGGTTTTGATTTGCGTTTTCCTAATAGCTAATGATGTTGAACATGTTTTCGTATAATTATTGACCATTTATGTCTTTTTCACAGAAGTGTCAGTTCAGGTCCTCTGCCCATTTTTTGATTGGATTGTTTGTTTCCTTGTTGTTACTGAGTTGAATGAGTTCTTGGTATATTTTGAATATTAGGCCCTTATCAGAGGTATTGCTTGCAAATTTATTTTCCCATTCTGGTGGTTGTCTCTTTACTTTTTTGCCAGTTTCTTTTGCTGGGCAGAAGCTTTTTAGTTTGATGTAGTCCCATTCATTTATTTTTGCTTTTACTTCCTTTGCCTTTGAAGTCAAATTCATAAAATTCTCTTTAAGTCTAAGGTGTGTGAGTTTAGTTCCTATATTATCTTCTATGCAACTTATTGTTTCAGGTCTTATATTCAGATCCTTTATCCATTATGAGTTAATTTTGGTATGTGGTGATAGACAGCAGTCTACTTTCATTCTTTTGCAGGTGGATTTCCAGTATTCCCAGCACCGATTATTGAAGAGGCTTTCCTTTCTCCACTGTATATTTTTGGCTCTTTTGTTGAAAATTATTTGCCCATACAAACCTGGGTTTACTTCTGGACTCTCGATTCTTTCCCACTGGTCTGTGTGTCTGTTTTTTCTGCCTTTTTGATTATTGTCACTTTGCAGTATAATTTGCAATCAGGCAGACCGATGCCTCCAGCCTCGTTCTTTTTTCTCAGGATGGCTTTGGCGATTCGGGGTCTTTTGTGTTTCCATACAAATCTGATGATTTTTTGTTCTATCTTTAAAAAATACTGATGAGATTTTGATGGGGATTGCATTAAATCTGTATAATGCTTTAGGTAATAAAGTCATTTTACTCTTTTGATTCTTCCAATCCAAGAACACGTAATATCTTTCCATTTCTGTGTATCTTCTTCAATTTCTTTTATAGGGTTTTATAGTTTTCATCATATAGGTCCTTCACATGTTTCGTTAGATTTATTCCTAGATAATTTATTCTTTTTGTTGCATTTGCAAAAGGAACTATTTTTTCCACTTCTTTTTCTGACGCTTCATTATTATAGTATAGGAACACTATGGATTTTTTAACATTGATTTTGTATCCAGAAACTTTACTGTATTTGATTATTGTTTCTAGTAGTATTCCTTAGGGTTTTCTATATAGAGAATCATGTCATCCACATATAGTGACAGTTTGACTTCATTTCCGATTTGGATGCGTTTGATATATTTCTCTTGTCTGATTGCAGTTGCCAGGACTTCCAATGTTATATGAATAACAATGAATAACAGTGGCATCAGTGGACAGCCTTGTCTTGTTCCTGATCTTAAAGGAAAGGTTTTTAGTTTTTCACCATTCAATATAATGTTGGCTGAGGGTTTGTCATATGTGGCCTTTATTATGTTAAGGTACTTTTCTTCTATACCGATTGTGTTAAGTGTTTTGATCATAAATGGATGCTGTATCTTGTCGAAGGCTTTTTCTGCATCTATTGATATGATCATATGATTCTTATTTTTTAATTTATGTGGTGTATCACATTAATTGATTTGAATGTATTGGACCATCTCTATGCCCCAAGGATGAATCCTGCTTGGTCATGGTGTATAATCTTTTTAATATGTTGCTGTATTTGGTTTATTAGTATCTTATTTAGTTTTTTTGCATCTGTGTTCGTGAGAGATATTGGTCTGTAGTTTTCTTTTTTTGTGATATCTTTACCAGGTTTTGATATCAGAATAATATTAGCCTCATAAAATGAGTTGGGAAGTATTGCCTCCTCCTCGATTTTTTGGAAGATTTTGGGAAGAATGGGTATTAAATCTTTCAATGATTAGTAGAATTCACTAGTGAAGCCATCTTGCCCTGGACTTTTACTTTTTGGTAGGTTTTTGGTGGTTGTTTCAAATTCCATACTGCTAATCAGTCTATTTATATTTTCTAGTTCTTCTTGATTCATTCTGGGAAGTTTTTATCTTTCTAAGTACCTGTCCATTTCTTCTAGGTTATTATAATTGGTGTTATATACTTTTTCATAGTATTTCTTGTATGATCCTTTGTATTTCTGTGGTGTCTGTTGTAATTTATCCTCTTTCATCCCTGATTTTGTTTATTCGTGTTCTTTCTCCGTTTTCTTTAGTGAGTTTAGCCATTGGTTTGTCAATTTTATTAACCTTATCAAAAACCAGTTCTTTGTTGCATTTACGTTTTTCTATTCTTTTTTTGTTTTCAATTTTATTTAATTCTGCTCTAATTTGATTATTTCTTTCCTTTTGCAGACTTTAGACTTTATTTGTTCTTCCTTTTCTAGTTTAAGATGAAGCGTTAGGTCGTTTATTTGGGTTTGCTCTTGTTTTTGAGATAGGCCTATAATGATATGAACTTTCCTCTTACGGCTGCTTTTGCTGTGTCCCAAAGTTTTGATATGTTGTACTATCATTATCATTTGTTTCTGTGTATCTCCTGATCTCTCTTTTTATTTCTTCTTTGACTCAGTCATTCTTCAGTAGCATGTTGTTTAATGTCCATGCATTTGTGGTTCTTCTCACTTTCTTTTTACGGTTGATTTCCAGCTTCAAAGCATTATGATCAGAGAATATGGTTGGTATGATTTTAACCCTCATATTTGATGAGGCTATCTCTGTGTCTCAGTATGTGGTCAATACTTGAAAATGTACCATGTGCACTAGAGAAGAATGTATAGGCAGCTGTTTTGGGATGAAAGGCTCTGTAAATGTTAATTATATCCAGTTGGTCTAATGTGTCATTTAAGGACGTTATTTCCTTATTGATTTTCTGTTTGGATGATCTGTCCATATCCGCCAGGGGGGTATTTACATCCCCTGCTATGATAGTGATTGGTCTGTTTCTCCCTTTAGTTCTGTTAGTAATTGCTTCATATATTTTAGGGCTCCCTGATAGGAAGCATAGATATTAATAAGTGTTATGTCTACTTGACATGACACTTCATTATTATCAAGTGTCCCTCAGTATCTTTTTTTACCTTTTTTATTTTGAAGTTTATTTTATCCAATATTAGTAATGCTACTCCCGCTTTCTATGAATGCCATTTGCTTGAAATATTATTTTCTATCCTATCACTTTTGAGTACAAAGTTATCTTTGAGCTGAGATGTGTCTTCTGGAGGCAGTGTATGGTTGGATTTTGTTTTTTGATTCATTCTGCAACTCTGTGCCTTTTCATTGGTGAGTTCAGTCCATTTACATTGAGGGCAATTATTGAAATATGAAGTTTTCCTATAGCCATTTTATCTTTTGCTTCCTGGAAGCTCAGTGTTTCCATTGTTTCTTGTCCTTGTCTGTTTTTGTTTTTGTTTAGTTTAGTTTAGTTTTGTTTTGTTTTATTTTGGTTGGGTGTTGTGGATTTTCCCTCTGGTTCTTGTTTTATTTTTATACTTCAGTTCTGAATCTTTGGCTTGTGGTTACCATTATAAATTGGTAGAGGATAGTTTTATATATATAGTAGTCCATTCTTCTGCGTGTGCCTTATCTGCATTTCCCTTTGCGATTTTGTATCTTTGAATCCTCCCCTTTTCTGTCATTGTTGTCTCAATTTGTCCCTATGTATGCTGAATGTTCATTACTATCTTGTATAGCAAATTTCTTCTTACTGTTTAAGCTTAGTAATGGTTGCACTCCTCTGCTTCTATCTGCCTGCTATTCGTCTTACTCATAGTTATGTATTTTTTTTGTCATTTTGTTTTAGGTGAGTTGACCTCTTTCAGTATGTCCTGTAATGCAGGCTTCATAGTGGAGAATTCCCTCAATTTTTGTATGTCTGAAAAGGTCTCCATTTCTCCTTTATATATATAGGATAGTTTAGCTGGATCCATTATTCTGGGCTTGTAGTTCCTTTCACTTAATAATTTGAATATTTGATTCCACTTCTTTCTGGCTTGTAAGGTTTATGCCGAGAAGTCTGACAATAATTTAATAGGTTTTCTTTATAGGTTACCTTCTTCTTTTCCCTGGCTGCTCTGAGAATTCTGTCTTTATCGTTGATTTTTGATAATTTTAATAGTGTGTCTTGGAGAAGGCCTTTTTGGGTCAAGATAATTAGATGTTCTTTTGACTTCTTGAATTCCAAGTTCCATCTCATTCCTTAGATTTGGGAAATTCTC